CCTAACTATTTTGACCCACCCATCTAAATCAAAACGATTGAACAATATAAAATGAGAATACTAACCTGAAAATGACGAAAGTAACGACAACAAACACCAGATGTGTTCTCGTCGGAGTCGCCTTCAAAGGTTAGGGCTGAAGAACATTTTGGTGAAAATAGAATTATGTTTGTTAATTAATCTGGTCGAGGGGTTGTTTTAATCGACCGGGTCGGATCTTTTTTGAGTCGGGATTAAAAAAGGGTCGGGTTGTCCATTTTTAATTAAAGAATTGTTTGTTTTTAATTTAAATAAGCGTGTGTTTACAGAGCATTGAATACTAACTAGGCTGGTCAAAAGTGGTATGTAATTGACACATATTTAAAAAGTTTGGTGTATGAAGTTAAACCCGTGGTCAACAAGTGTGTAACACAGATTTGGGTGCAAAATGGATAGGTAAACTATGTATTTTGCCTACTTTGTTTGGTGGAAGGTCAAAGATGAACGAAAGGAAGCAGGGAGGTTTGTTTTGTGCAAGAAAGCTGTCATGTGCATATATATGATAGAAATTAAGACGTTAGTGAGTTCATAATTAGTTGACCATGCAAAGAGAAAGGTAGGATCCGAGACAGGGCCAAAGGCACTGAACTATTATAGTCTATCTAAAGGGATCAGGAACATTGCAGCAAAAGAAAAGAAGAAAAAAAAGTAAAAGAAAAGTAAGTTTGACGTTACGCAATTTTATTGAATCGTCTCAGATACACCCTTAATGAGAGGAATGCACAACGAAGTCACAAGTAGCTTGATGACAAAATAAGGGCAATCACACGGCTCAATACTTAGCATAGTTGTGGACAAGCACAAGCTGTAACCCAAGGTTCTGTTTAATAGCTGTAACCCAAGGTTCATGATTATTAAAGCATGGGAAAAGGGTCCGAAGGAATCCAGGTTTTCTATCATTCAAATCATCTTACTTATATATATATATTAAACGCGTAAACGTCAAGTGGGGCCCTGCCAATAAGTATTACAACTCCACTAATGTTTCCAATAAACAAAGATTTAATTTCCAGCTGTTTTGCCAACTTTGGATCCTTCCTCCTCAATTCATGAGCATGGTCAATCATATAATTTGCTTAGTATAAATACGGATGCGTTGTTGAACAATTTCATATCATCAATCACCACACATTTGATTTCAGACATACCCCTTCTTCTTCCAACTTGAAAAAAACGTTGAGAAATCATTTTGAAAAATGTCGCCTCGTTTCTCTTTCAAAATGTTAATCCTTCCTATAGTCATGGCAAGTCTATGGGCAGCCGCCTCAGCTGGTAATTTTTATAATCTTGCAGATATCACTTGGGGCGAAGGACGTGGTAAAATAACAGAAGGAGGCAGAGGCCTCTCTCTGTCCCTTGACAAATTATCTGGTTCAGGTTTTCAATCCAAGAATGAGTATTTATTCGGAAGATTTGACATGCAACTCAAACTTGTCCCTGGAAATTCTGCTGGCACTGTCACCACCTTCTTTGTAAGTCATTCAACTTTTCCCTTACAAAAATGAATTAATTCTATTTCATGTCCAAGTTCTGTTGATTTACTATTGTTTCTTTCTTCAGTTATCTTCACAAGGAGCAGGACATGATGAGATTGACTTCGAGTTCTTAGGCAATGTTTCTGGTCAACCTTACACAGTCCACACCAATGTTTACTCGCAAGGCAAAGGCAACAAAGAACAACAATTCCATTTGTGGTTCGACCCAACTGCTGCATTTCACACTTACTCCATCATCTGGAACGCTCAGAAAATCATGTAAGTTCCTTATATTAATCTCAGTGTAAGAATGTTTGCTTGCAATCTCTCTTCTTTAGTACTGATGATGTCTGTATAAATTTCCATCTTCAGTTTCTTGGTGGATAATAGTCCAATCAGAGTATACAACAACCACGAAAGCAATGGCATTCCATTCCCAAAAATCCAACCAATGAAAGTGTACTGCAGCTTATGGAATGCAGATGAGTGGGCAACACAAGGAGGTAGAGTCAAGACAGATTGGACACATGTTCCTTTCACTGCTTACTACAGAAACTTCAATATTGATGGCTGCGCAGTTACATCCGGCACCTCTTCGTGTAAGTCCACTGATTCAGCCAACAATGCTAGGCCATGGCAAAATCAAGAACTTGATGCTAAGGGCAGGAATAGGCTACGATGGGTTCAAAGCAGACACATGGTTTACAACTATTGTGCTGATTCTAAGAGGTTTCCTCAAGGCTTTTCTCATGAGTGCAAGCGTTCGAGGTTCCTGTAATTAAGTTGCTGGAACAAGGAAATTGTGGCACTGCCTCGGCTATTTATTAAGATTGATTCTTCTCCTATTTGTGAATAATGAATATATGTACTGAATTCTTTATTTATAAGATCAACATCCTTTATTTTTTATGTAACTGCTAATGTATTTGTTTTGGAGCATACACTGCACATGGATCGGAATAAAATCTCTTTAGTTTCTTTTTCTCTCTTTTTAACCAAAAGACCGTCTCAGTTCTGACTCCAAATTAATTAGCAAAGTGAAATAGCTTGCTCTCTCATTATCTTGGGTTAACTAACAAATTAACAAAAACCTATTCTCAGAATTTTCTTACTAGTTTATAGGAAACCGCGCTGAAAAGAATGCAAATTATAGTGGTTTCCCACGAGCCTTTTTATGGAAAGGAAAAGGGAGAAATAATGGGGTTTAGATTTGGACGAACAGTTCAGGATTACCTATGTGAAAGAACTGAATAATTTCATCTTGAAGAAGCGAAGTTGCTTTAAACATAACAATTTACAAACCAGAACGGATTCCTCTTCATGAAAATGTGAGGGTCTGACATCTTATTTCTCGTAACACAAAAATTAACAAAAGCTACATTGTTTAAGGGGTAAAAGATATATACTTATAATGTTTACGATTTCCAACACACCTTACCACATACACACTTCTTTTTAAATCAATAGGACAAGATAGTGCCCTTGGTTCTTCATCAATTAAATGGCACATATCTTAGTTCTTATCATTTAGTTCAGAATTATCACGGGAGGGGAATTGAACTGGATTAGCAATAACAACCCTAAAAATAGCACGGCCCAGTTAATATTTGGATTGGTGCATTTGCAAAGTCATTAAAAAATAGTCACTATTTTGTTGAAACATGAAAAGTTTCAGCATAATATGCTGGACTATAGAGCTCATGCGTATAAACTTTCAACATATTATGTTGGAAATCTGATGTTTTGCTTAAAGTAGATATATTTGTGTGTATATCACCTCATATTTTACTTTTGTTTCGTGGATTTAGGATGTGAAATGTGTTGATTTATATTAATTTGAGGTGTTTTTATGTGTAGGAATAATCCAGGAGCAATCGGGAGCGAAATGTGCGAAATTAGAGCCAAAATGGACGAAAACGGAAAAATGGGACATTGCAGCGCCACAGGCAACGACCTGAGCTACCTGTGGCGCCAAAACCAGTAGCAAAAAATTCACAGCGCCATTGAGGGCGCCTAGCGCTGAGCAGGGTGCCAGCTCCAAATTCCTTCGGGATACGGTTATTTCGGCCCTAGACCTACCCAACAAGTATAAAAGCAAGACTAAACTTATTGGTGAGGGGGTGACGCCACTTTTGAGGGAGAATACACACTAGAAACATTCGGGAGCGAAGAGATCTCAGTTTTCTTCATCTTTCTCTAGTATTTTCAATTATTTAACACTTATGAAATTGTTTGTTATTATCATGAGTGGCTAAAAAACTATTGTTCTGGGGTTGTAATTTAGCCATGAATATTGTTGTTTAATGTTGACTTAATCTTGATTATAATTCACTACTATATGGTTGTTTCTTCAATTATGTGATTAATTGCTTAATTGTTTGGCTAGCAGTTAGGTTCTATCTACTATCTATGCTCTGCTTGGGGAAGCCGTATTTAGATTAGAGAAGAATTGAAGAAAGCACGATCTTAACTCTTAGGGAGGGGCAGATTTGTGGTTAGGATAGGAATATACCTAGTCACCGTGCTTAATTAAATATCGTAATCTTAATGCATTCTTAATAGATTGATTTCATAGGAATATAGGCATTAATCTATTTTGAATGAGCGAGTAGTGCTTCGGGAGAAGGCTATGAGAGGAATTATCGATTAATTAGCAACTATGAGTGAATTGTATGAAAGGGAGAGTTAACTAGAACACAATAGGATTGGTGAATCGATCACAACTCTGGAATATTTGTCTCTACTGAATACACAACAACCAATTTACTGTTTGATAATTTTGCTATTAATTAGAATTATAGTTTAGTATAATCACATTCTTGAACTTGATTTTGGCTTGACTGAATAACAATTTTGGTAATTTTAGTGGGTAGTCGATACAAGTCTCTGTGGGTTCGATACTTGACATATCATTTTATTACTTGTATGAACAGATATACTTGCGTGTGCGTTTGGCAGCAACAAAATCCAACACGGAAAATTCCAGCATTATATGCTGGATTATGGAACTCCTGCGTATAAACTTCCAGCATATTATGTTAGAAATTCAGGATGGAAAATTCCAACATAATATACTGGATTATAGAGCTCCTCCATTTAAACTTTCCGCATATTATGTTAGAACTCCAGCACATTATAAAATTCTAGTATATTATATTGGAATCTCATATGTAAAAAATTCGAAATCCGGCATATTATGCTCGTATTTTTCCGGATTTTTATTGGCATTTTTGTTGAGATTATATCTTTACATGAAAAAATGACTAAATTTTTATTACTTTTGAAAGTGCGACTATCTTTTAATTATCAGTTATAAATTTGGCTATTTCTGATTTTTTTTCCGTAACAATCCCACGAGCCTAGGCCCAACATACCCACCTCAGATGGGCTAGCTCGATCAATCTTTGGGCCATACACCACGTTTACATTTGTGGGCTGGCCTTCCGCAAATGGCCAACGCCCGGTATGTTCTCCGTGAACATCACTAATTTTGTCCCGTTTCTGCTATCCGTAAAGAGAAGTTTTTCAGCAGTAACACGAAAGGTGCACGTTTGTTGAAACTTGAAACTACTACACTTGTTTTCATCGATGTATACAATTATGTATACAATTATAAACCCATAGAGTTACCAGATTTAAGGTCTGATTATGCAGTCTACGTCAATTACTCCTTTGCATACTTGCTTCTACCCAATTCCTAAGCATTTTTACTCCCCCCATCGTTCCCTTAATCTCAATAAGAAAACTCTTCCTCGTTCTTCACTTTGCTCCACCCATTTCACAAACAAGTGTTGTTTTACTCTCAGTTCTACACATAGTTGCAGTCAGGACCAACAGAAACACAAAAGGGATAACAACAACAACAACAGTACAGACCTAGATCAACAGAACGGTATATATTGGGAAGAGTTTTATACTTCTATTCAAGAAGAGAGAACCCAGTACAGAGAGAACAAGGAGGACCCGAAATTTGAGCTTCCCAACCGTTCAGGCATTTACACAAACATGTGGTGGACAGACTTGAAAGCTGCAGTAGGCCAGAGGGTTAACGTGGAGGGCATTGTTTCTTCTTTAGGGGTTTTCTCTAAGGACAAGCATTTGGCGATCCCACATGTTATTGTGCCAGATATAAGGTATATCGATTGGGCTGAGCTAAAGAAACGAGGGTTTCAAGGTGTGGTCTTTGACAAGGATAATACAATTACGGTTCCTTACTCCTTGAGCTTGTGGTCTCCTCTTGCCACTTCTATAGATCAGTGCAAATCTCTGTTTGGTAACAATATTGCAGTTTATAGCAACTCTGCAGGTAATTGGATTTCGTTTAGATCAGTGCAAATGTCTAAGTTGGGCCACTTCCAACCCCTAACAATTTGTCTCAGTGGAATTAAGTATTTTATGATTTGTGAATTTGTAGGACTAGATGAATATGACCCTGATGGTAGAAAAGCCAGAATTCTTGAACGTGCAATTGGAATTAAAGTCATCAGGCACAGTAAGTTGTATTTCCTATTTGGGATTCCATTTGCCCTAATCTATCATGTATTATATTTTCCCTTTCTAATAGTAATGCAACTCTGAAGTAACATGAATTAACGAATGATAAGTCAAAAAAATGAGAAATTTATATGAATATTGTTGATTGACAAAAGAAATTGTCCCACATCGGTGGATGATTTCATTTGGGGGAAAATATTTTCCTATAAAAGGAGGCCTAATGTTTAGGATTTAAACACACCTCTCATTTGTTTTCTTATCTTCTTAAGGCATTTGTATTTCTCTCTTTAGTATTATTTCACTTGTATTTTTGGAGTGGAATAAAATATTGGTTGTGTCCGAGGAAGTAGGCAAAATTGGCCGAACCTCGTAAATTCTGGTGTTCTTTTATTGTTGTCTTATTGTCTTATTTATTATTTGGTGGCTGTCATAATTTTTGGTATAGTAGTTGTGACTCATTCACACTATATACATTTGGCTTCCGCAACAATTGGTATCAGAGCCAAGGTACTGTCTAAGTATGCTCTATGGTTGCAGCATAGTCTGATCTTCCACATCATAAAAGATTTATCTTGGTACTGTGTCAAGGTTCTGTCTTAGTATGCTCTGTGGTTGCAGCTTAGTCTGATCTTCCACACCAGAAAGGAAATAATCTTGATTTGTGTCGTCAACTATTAAATAATATTCGTGTCAAAATGAGAGATAATAAACAAGAAAAATCTACATCAAATGCCAATAATACGTTATCGTTCGCATCCTCGCTTATGACAAGAATTGTGTCAAATGCGAAATTTGCGGTAGAAATTTTTGACGGATCAGGACATTTTGGGATGTGGCAAGGTGAGGTTCTAGATGTCCTTTTTCAACAAGGGCTGAATCTTGCCATTGAAGAAAAGAAACCAGATGTTATTGGAGAAGAATATTGGAGAATTATCAACCGTGTTGCTTGCGGTACCATTCGATCCTACCTTGCTAGAGAGCAGAAATATCCATACACAAAGGAAACTTCTGCAAGTAAATTATGGAAAGCACTGGAGGATAAATTTTTGAAGAAAAACAGTCAAAATAAATTGTACATGAAGAAGAGACTGTTTCACTTCACCTATGTTCCTGGTACCACAATGAATGAACATATCACCAGTTTCAATAAGTTGGTCACAGATTTGCAAAATATGGATGCAACTTTTGATGATGGTAACTTGGCCTTGATGTTGTTGGGGTCACTTCCTGATGAGTTCGAGCACCTTGAAACTACTCTACTCCATGGGAATGACGAAATTTCTCTCAAAGAAGTTTGTTCGGCTTTGTACAGCTATGAACAAAGAAAGGGAAAAAAAAAGGGCGGAGAAGGAGAAGCACTGGTTGTGAGGGGTCGTCCTCAAAATCAAATGAGGACAAAGAAGGGAAAATCCAAGTTAAGATCTAGACCCAGCAAAGATGAATGTGCCTTTTGTCGAGAAAAGGGACACTGGAAGAAAGACTGGCCGAAGTTGAAGAATAAGGCCAAACATAACAATGGAAGGCCATTATGGATTCAAATGTAGATGATTGTGATGATTTAGACTTCTCATTAGTTACAACAGAGCCATCAACATCATCAGACATATGGTTGATGGACTCGGCTTGTAGCTATCATATGTGTCCCAACAGGGACTGGTTCGTGGATTTTCAAGAAGGAGAATATGTCCACACAGCGGATAACAGCCCTCTTACCTCATATGGCATTGGTTCAATACGATTAAGGAACTATGATAGAATGATCAGAACATTAACAGATGTTTGATATGTACCGGGTTTGAAGAAGAATCTCATCTTTGTGGGAGCCCTAGAATCAAAAGGGTTCAAAATCATTGCAGAAAATGGAGTGATGAGAGTATGCTCCGGTGCACTAGTGGTAATGAAGGTCAATTGGAAGAACAATAACATGTACCGTTATCGCGGTAGCACAGTTATTGGGACAGCGACAGTAACATCCAGTGACGAAAAAGAGGCAGAAGCAACCAGGCTATGGCACATGCGCTTGGAACATGCTGGAGAAAAATTCTTGAAAACTCTATTAGATCAAGGATTGTTAAAAGGAGTAAAGGCTTGCAACTTGGAGTTTTGTGAGCATTGTGTCAAAGGGAAACAGACAAGGGTTAAATTTGGTACAGCGATCCATAATACNCACTATTTTGTAACCTTTGTTGATAATTTTTCCCGAAGAGTGTGGGTGTATACAATGAAGAGCAAAGATGAAGTATTGGGAATTTTTCTCAAATGGAAGACGATGGTGGAGAATCATACAGGCAGGAGGATCAAGTGTATTCGTACGGACAATGGAGGTGAATACAAAAATGATCATTTCAATAAGGTCTATGAAAAAGATGGCATCGTCCGACACTTCACTGCCAGACATACACCACAACAGAATGGAGTGGCAGAACGTATGAACCGGACCTTGCTGAAGAAGGTACGGTGTATGTTGTCCAATGCTGCCTTGGGCAAAGAATTTTGGGCTGAGGCAGTTACATATGCATATCACCTCATTAATCGTCTACCATCTGCTGCTATTGATGGCAAGACACCATTTGAAAAATGGTATGGAAATCCTGCTATAGATTATGACTTTTTGCACGTGTTTGGCTCAACTACATATTATCATGTGACAGAGTCAAAATTGGATCCAAGGGCAATGAAGGCTATTTTTATGGGGATTACTTCTGGAGTCATTATGGTGTCATATGACAAAGAAAGTAATATTTAGCAGGGATGTTACCTTTGATGAATCTGCTATGATAAATAAGGTAACAGAAGATA